CCCCAAAACCCCAAAACCCCAAAACCCCAAAACCCCATAGGCCTCAATAGGGATTGAAAATGGATTTCAAAACAACTGATAATCTCATCCAATCACCCAGATTTCACGATGTTAAATTCTATAAAACTATCGATCATGCTATAAACCTATATCTGCCTTCAAACCCCCGTTCTCAGGCGTTCCTCGTCAGTCAGAGGCTAAGATCACCAAGTTGCCTTCAACCCCACAATTTCTGACAAAATACCCAAGTCCATTTCTCCCTTCCCAAATTCCCAAGCTGCCTTATCTCCTCACCGTTTGTTCTATTTCATCAAAACCCTTCAAATCCCAATTTTTCAAATTCAAACTCAAACCTCGCCAAAATGGGCTGAGTCAGCAAAATCGAAATTTAACCAAATTTTCACTGACACAAGATTTGATTCATGAGCAAAACGTTTACTCGCAATTATTCTCTTTGCTCGAAAGTACCTAAAAGAAGGACATGGCTTAAAATTGGCTCATTGAGGCCCAAAATGGGCCAAAAAGGCCCATTTCTGGCTTCTCAAGGCACTTTCAATGATATTTTTGTGGGAATTTAGGTTTGAATTTTTCCAGAATATTTAGCATATAAAAGAAATTTAATAAATTTTTAATAAAAATAAAGATGCTTAAGCAAGAACTCCGCCCAAGGAAGAGTGTTCGCTATTGAGACAGTAGCGATGAAGAGATAGATAACTTTAATAGTAGCACTAAGGATTCAACGGTAAGGAGAAGAAGGGTGAGGCAACAAGATGCCTTGTTCAATTTTTGAAGAGCTTTAGTGGTAGAAAATCTTCTAAAAATTCTGAGAAAAGGCATATTTGAATTCAAATAAATATGAATTTTCTGAAACTTATCTTTAAAGAGCAAGGAGTTTTATCCTATCAAGAACCTTCAAAAGCCTAAACCCCCTCATAATACTTCTCTTTTCCTTTTTCTTACATGATCTTTGTAATCATTTAACCAAAATCCCATGAGCATACATTAATTTTCACTAGCCAAAAGTCTTCCCACAACCAAAGCCTAACTCTTTCACACTCTTTAGCTTCTTCATAACTTTGTCTGGGATTCTCTAGCTTGAGCCTAAAACAAGTTTTGTGTATCCTAAAAACATTATAATTCATGTACAACTTTTACCGGGATTTCTTTACATGAGAATAGATTCTTCACTTGGAAGAAGAAACTCTCTTCAGGACTCACCTTTACTTAAGATATGCTACTGTTTCTTTGGGAAACTTGATTTGATGAGTTTATTAGACTTCTTATAGGCTTACTCTATAGTTAAATTTATTTTGATGCTGTCAATGACATTATAACTTAATGTCTCTCATAAGAGTAGGCTCGATAGTCAGGTAGTCAGTAGGGGTCTGCATATTTGACTGCAACTTTTAAAATATTTGAAAATTAAAGAACATCCATTTTATCTTGAGAAGTAAGAAATCATTAATTTGATATTTGTACTATTTAGCTGAAACACTCCCAAGATTCCAAGGCAACTATGTGTAAATACGAATACGTCTATCTCAGAAATGTTAGCATGTTTATTCCCAAATATTCAAAGTTCTTTAAAGTCAAATCTTAGTTAAAGTATTCCATTAATCGATTGTATTTATTCATGATGGAAAGAAGAAGTTTAAATATCCAACAGAGAATCAAAACCTTCTTACTTAATTTAGAATAAATAAGAGCAATTATCTCATAAAATAAAGCATCTCTGATTTAGCCAAAGCTAGCTTTAAAAGTTTGAACTCTAGTACTACCAATATCTTTTATTCGATATATTCGTATTTGACCTGAAACATCGCCAAATCTCCAACTTCCTCTACTAAATTATTCAAACATCTATCTGATGGCTGCTCAGATGGGACTGATATTCTTCTGCTTCTTAATTCGCCCCAAGTTGTGGGGGATATGTAGATAGTCCCATGACTAGCACGGACTTTGATCATGCTCTTACGATAGACACTGAGTTAATAATGCCTTAGGCGAGGCCGATAAAATTGGACTAGAGAGTATTTCTATACAGATAAATACATTTCTTGGTTAACGAGACTTTGTGGCTGTTAATAAATTTTCAGTTTACATTTAATTTTAGGATAAGGATGATGTCGACTGGAAAGATCACAACTTTATATCTCACCATAAGGTATTTTGGGATATATACTAGAAGTATTAAGTTAATAGGAGCAAGGTAAACAAATCAATACTCCAAAAGCTAAATAAAAGAGATCTAAAAGCACTCTCAAAGCAAAATGAGCAAGAAGAAAGCAGTAAATACCTTCAAATATTCATTCCGCTTTTTATTAAGTTTAGCAGGAAGGTTATAAGGAGAGTCTATTATGAAATTTATAGAAGAAAAAGACAAGACAACTAGAGGAATTATAAGCTTTGAGCACTTTAATATACAAGTCACATCTTGTAGAGGAATTGAAGCTCTTATAAGGTAATATCTCTTCAATTTCCAACAATTTTTTGACTCAACTAAGAATCTTGAGTGGCAAATCTATTGTCAGATAAGATTTTAAGTCAAGAATTTACACGGAATTTCTCTTAACCCCCATTAAACCAAACTGAAACTAATCTGTATATAGACTGTAAGTGGTAAAACTTTAATGTTCACAAGATCTGGGTCTTCAAAGCCCAGTATTATCTTTATGTCTGAAGCTTTTCTCCTGATTAACTCCCTAAACACTGTTTGATTCAGATACAATTCCATTTTCGAAATCGTGAAAGATAAGGGCAAGAAATTGGATGAAGAGGAGTACATCGTCCCACTTTGTGATAGAGAAGGTAAGATTTACATAGAGAAGGGTCTGAAGATGAGAATGCAGCTCAGCTTGGTACTTAATTTATAAGCCATTGTATAAACTCGATGTTGGGTAATAGAAAAGAGGGAATGTTATGAGTAGATGGGGCTAAATTCCTTCACAGGCTAAAATCCAGCTTATGCCTAACTTCAAATATAGTCTTCTTGCATGAAACAAGTGTGAAGCTATCAAAATAAAGATTCCTTCCTAAAGAATAAATTTAAAGAGGGATGGCAATGCAAAGAATTTGATCAGATCTGGCTTGGAATATTTAAGGTAGATTTTTTTAGAAAAGTGATTTTTTTGTGGGAAGGAGGGTGTTTAGGAGGGTTTATAAAAAATAAGGACTGGCTTAAAGGGAGATTGTGATTAAGGATGTGCAATAGGTTTGATTTGAGTGAGAGCTAATAGATGAGTTTAGATATGAAAATTTTCGAATAGGGAGTGATATATTTACTAATTTCATCATTCATAATTCAACTCACAAAATAACTCAAGGTGCAATCTCCTACAATTTCAGTATCTTTCTAGCTTGTTTTAATTTTATACAATCATAGTATTTAAGATAAATTTTATGCTAACGTAAAAGATTATTTTCTTCACCTACATAAAATGTCAACCAAAGATATTATCAAAACTCAGTATTCCATATTTCACAATCTTTAAAAACACTTTAATTTAATCCTCGTCAAACCTTTAGCAGTTAGGATTTAGTAATAATATGTGCTCTATCCATACGAGATATACATAAATAAATTTATAACAAGCAGATGATTAATGAAAATTTTAACCAAGTATTTAGTTGAAGTTGTTAACACCTTCATAATAACAATAAACAACTTGATTAAAGTTTAATTATTCCTTGTTTCATCAAAAATTTAATTTCAGATATCTCCCAAACTTGTATAGTTCCATCGATTAGATAAAGCTCTTATCAGAGTTTGGCTGTTGAACCAATCAAATTAAAGGCACCTATAAAATCTCCAATGGCTCATAAGATTGAAATTGTCAAATAGCTTCTGTTTAAATTTATTCGAAAATTTTCCGAAATGACTAAATGCCAGATGACAACCATCAGATTTTGGCAACTTCTCATTCATTTATTTTAGGAATCTTTAAAAAATTAGCTTTGAACTTCCCAATATTCTTTCTATTCTAAAGAAGCATCCTTGGAGTTATTTCATACCTATTAAATGTAAACCAGACTTGATTAGTCTTAGATCTGGGATTTAGCCAAGATTTCCAAGAATATTTATGATTACAAATCGAGGATAAGAAAGAGGTTGGGTTAAGTAAATACAAGAATTATTCATGACGTTTCATAACCTGAGGATGCGGCCAGTTTACTTTAATGATAGAGTTGTGAAAAATAACAACATATTTAGGATGGTGATGGTGAAATAAAATCCTTGAAGACTTCCAAAAATCCAAGTGATTTAAAATAAAATGTACATTTCTAAAGCAAAGGAAATATTCCAAAAATACAAAGCAAAATCTTTTGACAGGGACAAGTGGAGAATAACAAACTCATCATCAGGAGGTATTTCAGATGAGCTTTCTCAGAGAGCCATCAAAGCGTTCTGTGAGATTTACTCCATCTGCACCAAAGACTTTGAATATATTATGGGAGATTGTAGCCACTATGAGTGGCTTAGAGACAGTATTGGTAAAGCAGAAACGTTTTTTGAGATGATAAATTGCTTCTCAAGTTATTATAAACCAGCATTTAGCCGTTTAATATACTTTTTGGTCAATAATTGTGATGAATGGCAAGGATACTCAGATAAAAAGTTTAAATCACATCCAGATGACAGACTTTGTCTTCTACAAAATTCTCATAGATACATAGCTGATTTCAGAGGGGAAGGGAATTCTCATATTGATGAAGTCTTTTATGAAAATATGAAAAGCCTCCCTCTTACTACGATCCTCTATGAGGCATTTGAAATTATCCAGCTAAATCATAATTAAATGGGTGCTATTCAAATCAAATACGCATCCATTTAAGATTCTAGCATGAATCAAAAAAGAATTATGTGTTAGCAACAATAATTTCAAATTTCAATCACCAAACTGTCCTCTGGGGTTTTGGGGTTTTGGGGTTTTGGGGTTTTGGGGTTTTGGGGTT